CCTCTTCCATCAAATTGTTTAGTCACACTATCAATTTCTCCCTGATATTCATCATAATCAACTTTAATATAATCAACAAAGATTCTGTTAGGATTAAGATGTATGTTTTAAACAGCAAAAAAGTTAAAATGTCCTAATTAAGCCAGCACTTCGTTTACCTTTTATAATTTTGATTTCAATGTGAGATTAAATAATACTACGTTCTAAGGGATAATAATAGCTTCATTAGACTTTTCTTCTTCGTCAATATGTTTGTTTAAAGGTTCATTGATCAGTAAGCACAAATCAGCTATAATTTCAAGTGCCTGTGGTCTTTGAGCAGGATTAAGTGTTAGCATCTTGTTTAAAAGTGGCTCAAATATTTTTCTAGTTGAAGGAAGATTAAATGCATGAGTAGGATCTCTCTTTTTAATGTCACTCAATCTTTTCCCATCTATGTCATAATTTTCTGTGCATAAGTAGTTCAAGATAACTCCAGCTGACCATATATCAACTTAGTTGTTATAGCTGTACTCTTCTTCGTTGGAGATTTCCGGGGCTTTAAAGTACTTTTTGCCCACGTAATTAATGGATTCCGCATTGTGAGAAGCAAGTCCAAAGTCACAAAGCTTGAATTTAGTCCCATTTTCAAAGACAAGAATGTTGTCTGGGCTCAAGTCTCTGTGCATGATATTTTGATTGTGAAGGTAATTCACACCTTTTAAGATTTGAAGCATAATATCGGTTATCTGGTTGTTGCTCAAACCTGAATTATTTTCTCTGAAATTTCTGAGGTCAGTCTCGGCAAGCTCAGTAATGATGACGAATTTATTGTCATGAGTAAAGTAAGACTCTATGAATTTGGTTATGTTTTAATGGCTTAGTTTGAAAGTATTTACTTCTCTGAAGATGCGGATAATCTCGTTGCTAAAGTTATTTGGAGTTTTGTTGATAAGTTATTTTAGATTTTGTATTTTCATCGCATAGAATTTCTGATCTTAAGTGTTTTTGACTTTGTATACTAATCCGAATCCGCCCTCTGAGATTTCTGAATCAAATATGTACTTATCCCACAATAGTTGTACCGTCAAAGATACGTATTTTTCCATCTTAACCTAAATTAATTACTATTTAATAATCAAATTTTCTCAGATTTCACTGCATAGAGGGGTTTTGGGGTTTTGGGG